ACGTGTGAGGATGCGTCATGCGTAGGTTGCCTGTGAAGGCCCCCCGGAGCTGGTCGCTGGGTTGCTTCCAGGAAGAGAACGGGGAACTGGGGGTAGAGCTGGAAAGGAGACTGACTTTTCCTTGTGAAGACTTTCTTAATGTTCGCATTTATTTCTATTACATCCAGATATCACCTATCTAAAATACTAAATGTTTTTTAAATGAAAAAAAAAAATCTAGTAAGACTAAATAGAAACAGAAAGTGTATATAACCTAACTCCGTGAAAACGTCAGTGCAACACAGACTTCAAGGCTGGTAAAAAGACATGCACTACCACGAGAAAAGACAAGTCTGGTTAGGTAAAGGTGAGCTTTTGAGTAACTTGTCATTACAAAGACGAGACCGAGACAGGTTAACATGCATTTCCCCAAAATTAATTCATCGCATGGTGACTTCACCTGTGTACTCCTGGGGGCGTCCATGCTGCGCCTAAACCCCTTCCTCCTTTCCCTGCTCCCCCCAACGCCCACTCGTGCAGCCTAGACCCCTCCCTGTAAGTGGGCGAGCCAGGACCAGAGGTGGGGAAGGGCTGATCTCCAGTCACCAAGGCAGGATGACGTGGTACCGGCAGCACACGGGCAGGAGGAAAGTGGGCCAGAGCCCTGGGTAGGCGAAGGGGCACATCCACTCAGGGGGCCTACGGCGGGGGTGGCCTCACAGGCCCGGGTAGCTCCAGTCCCCCCACTCCTTCTGCACCCTGAGCCTCTCAGCTACCCACTTGCTATCGGAAAGGGTTCTGAGGATGAACAAACAGGAAAATGCTGGTGCAACAGAGTTCTGCAGTTCTCGAATGAAATCGCCTCAGGGTCTTCAACTTGCTAACGTACACTTTCTAACCATAATGACTAACATCTATTTTACTTACTTTGTATCAGGTTAAGTACTTTACAGTGTCATTTAATCCTTTTAACAATCATGAAATATCATTGTAACAATGTTATAGATGAACAAAGAAAGTTGAAAAGAGACACACCTGAGGTCCCACTGTAGTGAGAGAGCTAGAGCCAAGCCCAGGTCACTTACACTCATTGTTCACGAAGCCCTTTCTAAATTGCAGAGTTGCTTGAGACCAGTCCCACAAAAACAAGCGCTTTGCCTTAGAGTCCTTGGAGGGGTAGCTGTGAGGCCAAAGTCAAACGAGGGAATATGAACCCCCTCCACCACCACGGAAGAGGCGGGGTTCCTGCCTGCTGACCACAGATGAGGCAAGAGTGGGTTGGGGTACCTGCAGCACTTCCGCTGCACTAGACAAGCACAGTGGCTCCTCCCCACACCCCTTGCAGGACACGTCCAAATATTCCAGTCAACCCTGAGGCCAGTGAGGGAAGGAATCTGAGCCTCCTGCTCCTGAGAGAGTGGATAAAAACCCTCAGAATAGGAGGCAAGAACTTCACCCAGCCGTCTGTCTAATCCAGCCACACTGGGAGCTATTGACAAACTGGAGAGAGGAATGGATTCTCGATAAACTTAACTCCCCTCTCCTTCCAAAGCAGACACCCGGACAAAAGCAAAAACCGACAGGTGAGATAACATCAACCGAAAAAGCTTCTCGCGGCAAAGGAAACCACTGACGAATGAAAAGGCAGCCTTTGTAAAGAACTCGCACAACTCAATAGCAAAAACAAAAACAAAAACAAACAAACAAAAAGACCACCAAGCCCATTAAAAAATGGGCCAGGGATCTGAATAGATATTTTTCCAAAGAGGGCATACGAATGGCCAACGGGTATATAAAGGATGCTCAATATCACTAATTATCAGGGAAGTCAAAACCACCATGAGAATGGCTATTATCAAAAAGACAAGAACTAAGTGTGGGTGAGGACGTGGAGAAAAGGGAACCCTTGTGCACTGTTGGTGGGAATGTAAATCGGTGCAGCTGCTGTGGAGACCAGCATGGGGGGTTCTCAAAAAAATTAAAAATAGAGCTACCATACTATCCAGCTATTCCACTTCTGAGTATTTCTCCAATGAAAATACTCAAAAAGATGTCCGCACCCCCATGTTCATCGCAGTATTATTTACAATAGCCAAGACACAGAAACGACCGAAGGGCCCATCAGCAGGTGAATGGATAAGGACGTGGTACACATACACACATGCACACACACAGAGGAATACTATTCAGCCATCAAAAAGAAGAGACTCTTGCCATCTGCGACAGCATGGGTGGATCTTGAGGACGTTAGGCTAAGTGAAAGAAGTCAGAGAAAGACAAATACCATATGATCTCACTAGATAAGGAGTTAGATTTTATAGGGCCAGAAAATGAACTTAGGAAACTAGACCTTTTTAGTGTTTATTTCTTATTGCAAACTGTAACAGATTAGAGACACACGCTGAGGTGGTGACCTTCAAACGTTCTCCGCGGAGGGCCAGAGCAGTGGCCGGGATGGGGAAGAACCGCACAGAGGAGGCTCCGTCCTCAGGCTTCCCTGCTGCGGGAGTTTCCCACTCCTGAGGTCAGCAGAGACCCAGTGTGGCAGCCGGGCCCTGCCTGGCCATTTCGTCCCTGACTGTCCCCACTTCCAAGGACTCTCTCGGCTGACGTCAGTTTTCTCATAGCCTGCCAGCCAAGCAATGTTCTCCCTTATATCTGTACCCGTGTAGGAATGCAGACGTACAAGACTGTGGACAACTGCCCGTTTCGCTACAATCCGGGCTCAGCCTTTGGATAAGAATCCGTGAGTCGGTGCCCGCATCAATAGACGCTGCTTCCCGCTCATAGCCTCCGTGTCCCGTCTCTCCGCTCGAAAACCCCGCAACAGCAAGGTAGCCCAGGACACAAGGACCCTGCCATCATTCCCTTCCAGGGACAGAAGACTGTCCCCTTGCCCTTCCCCAGCTGACCTCAGTGGTCAGCAACACTCTGCAAGAGGCCTGCGGGACAGGAGGGACGCCTGGATTCACCCCCGTCAACCTCGTCCTGCCCGGGGGGACCCCTCTTTGTGCCCACTCAGCACGACTCGTCACCAGAGTTTCTCCCTAAGGCAGCACCTTGTGCGGGACAGGGCCCCGCGACGCAGACAGGCACGTTTGCCGCCGCCTCCTGGCCCGAGGTGGCATGAGCCCTCCACCAAGGGGCGCTGAAGTTCCTCCCCGGCTCCCAGTCCAAGGACCCAGATCCTCTTGGCTCCGAGGGCCTCTCGTGTCACCCACCACCACTTTCTTCTGACATCTGTGTGTCCCCGACTCCCTGCTGTCCATTGCTCGTCATCCCCCACCACTTCCTCCTCGAGACTCGAACACCCGCTAAGGGAAGGACGCGGCGCCCACACTGCAGACTCCTCCCTGCGCGGGGCGGGGTGCGCGCGACTAGGCCTGGAGCTCGTCTCCGCTAGAGGGTGATGTCGCCACGCGACAGCGGGACCGGACCACGTGCTGCTGAGCGCCCATGGGCGGTGCCAACTGTTTATACCCGGCTATCTCTTTAAAAAAAAAAAAAAACAACTCTGTGTTGTGAAAATAATGAGAATTCTTTCATTTTTAATTTCGGGTATTGCTTTTGCTCGTAATTTTATAATTACGTAAAATATTTATATGATTCCAATACACCTTGCAAAACAAGGTGTATTCAGAGTTTACCTTCTGCCCCTGCTCAGGATTAGGAAAGAACAACATGGAACCATCTGGAATCTCTTAGGCCCCCTGTTGCTCTTCCCTAGCACCCGCCGAGGCGAAGCCTTTTTTCCTAGTTAATACGAGCTTATTCTGCTTCTCACGTACTCTCCCTAATCAGCCTTTGTTGAGAGCTGTACTATCTTTACAGGGCTGCCAAAAACTCTGCCCATATAAATGAATACATATTAACAGTTTGTTGATGTATTTCAATACACGTTAAAATAATAGCACCTATTTCCAAACTTCATAGCCACCCTGGGTACCATCAAAGCACACAGCTATGACATGCTACACTGTTTCCGTGATCCCCGCCGTTTATTTTCAGTCAGTTAAACGCGTGACTGCTCACCACTAGGCAGAGAGATGGGTGTCTCTTCAGTCACCTTGGTTGTCTACAGCTGTCCTCCAGACTCCTCAGGAAGGGTCCTCATCAAGGGTATCCTCGCGTTATGCTGTGTGGGGGAGGGTCATAGCAGCTTCCAACAGGGGTGGCCGTGGAGCCCTCCCAGCAGAGGCCGAGCTCAGAACTCGTGCCGTGCACGCGCGCCCGTGCTGGGTGTGTCCTGGCACCACCACTGAGTTCTCCACGCCGTGGCGCTCTCGGCGTCCGGTTCAGTGTCCCAGCACTAGCTCCTCATTCGGCTCATCCAGCCAACACCAAGAACCTGTGGCTCTAGAGTGATGGCGGCAAAAGGAGGCAGTAAAGGACCAAGGACAAGACGTGCTTCTCTCTCTGGGGACAAACCCGAGTTGGTCGCTTTGTGAAATACCATTCCTGTTATTCTGCCTAAGGCAGAACGGGGCCTCACCGGTGCTGAGTACCCACTGGGCTGATATCACCTAAACGCTGCTCACGTCGCCTCGCTCACCGGTCAGGCGGGCACGACCGCCCCGTGCGCAGGGGTCCGCAGAGGGGTCCTGGAGGGAGGCCAGTGCCGCCTGCCGCGCAGCTCCTACGTCCTGACGGTAAGGACTCCACCCCAGGGTCCGGCTCAGGCCTGCGGCGCACTGCACCACGCTGCCCAGTGTGCACCGCCCTTGGGGCTACATGGCCCGGCGTGGTGGAGAGCCGGTCACAGACGGCCTGGGAGTGCTTCGGCAGGGTTAAGCCGAGCTACCAGACAGACAGGGCTGCTGTTCAGCTACTTTGCTCACTGTCCCTCGCATCTCGAAATGAAAATAAACCTAAACTTCTGGGTAAAAGGCTGGGAGAACTGTCCTCCAAGCAAGTGCCTAACAAGAAGAGAAAGGCCACAGGCTAATTGGGAGGTCCGCGGGCAGGTCCAGCCTCCCGCGGTTGCCAGGCAACAAAGGTAAACAGCAGGAAGCGGCAGGATCATGGCCACTAACTACAGTGCCAACCAGGTAAGTTCTTGTTCCATCTCTCTAGCGTTTAATTTTGCCTCCAGAGTGTACCTTTGAACTGACGCCTCCCACAGGGTTCTGATCACTGAACAGACAGTTGAGAGTGGGGTGAAGTATTTTTCACCTCCTCAGCTCCTTGGGAAAGGGAAGGCCCGGGGACAAGCAAAACATGTCCCCTGGGGTAAGTTTGTAGAGGCTAAACCAGACATCAGCAGGTTTTCTCTGTAAAGGGCCAGAGACTAAATATTTAAGGTTTTGTGGACAAAGTGACAAAATCAGAGATATAAGTATCTGCATAAGGAGAGAAAACATTTTTCATGAAGTTTTAACAAAATTCAAAACCTAACAATTGAGTGCAATATTTTATACGACTAATGAAAAGAATAGCTTTCTTTTGGGAACAAAAACATTTGGCCTAGTTGGGATACAAAGTTAGTGTTCCCTTGTATCAAATCAGTTGGGAATGTTGGTCTACAAAAATCATTCTCAGCTTTCTCCCGCCAGCGCCAGACAGGAGGATGGGTCTGCTCGCCACTGGTCTAGACCAGTGCTGTCTAATAAGAAGATAATGAGACTCATGAATGTAACTTAAAATTTTCTGGTAGTTACATTAAAAAATTAAAAATAAGTTTAATTTAGTCAATAAATTCAAAATATTATTTCAACATTTAATATTTTAAAAGTTAGTCAGATATTTTACATTCCCTTTTGTTCTCAGTCTTTTACGCTTATAAGTACCTCGATTTGGACCAGTCACACTTCAACTGCTCAACAGCCACATGTGGCTCCATGTGAGACAGCACCACTGAGACCAAATGACACCCTCTAAAGCCTAGCACAGGGGTTCAGGCTCCGCCCCTCAAATGTAGGGACCCATGCCTGGCTTCCCCGCCCCCCGACCCCCTCGGCTTCACCCCTGGCCTGGGGCTGTTGGGCCTCAGACGGGCTGTCGCCTTTCTCTCCACAGTACGAAAGCGCTTTCTCGCCCAAGTACCTGCAGAACTGGTGTCCCGCCAAGCCAACCAAAGAGGTACCGCACCCAGTCTGCCCACACGGCCACATTCTGCTGCTTCGCATCGCGCTCTGGGACTCTCTGGGATTCTGGGCACCTCACTCCGTTTTCAGTTCCCATACCCTCCCGCCCCCAGCCCTGAAGACCCTTCCTCCCCCTTCCCATGCCCCCCTCCCCAGCGCGTCTCTCCCCGCCTCCACCACAGGGCACTTCTTCCCACGAAGGCTACACTCAGATTATCGCCAACGACCGTGGTCACCTGCTGCCTTCAGTGCCCCGTTCCAAGGTGAGATGCTCACCCCCACTCCTATGGAGAGGGTAGACTGGAGACCGTGCATGCCCCCAAACTTCTAACCAGTTTATCCAACAGGACAGGGTCATAGTTAGCGCCCAGAACTCCTTAGGCTGATAAACGGTCCATATGAAATGGTGGTCTTCCGGTGATACTTACCCAGTGGGTATTCCTCCAGACTTAGCCTAAGGGTGCAGGTTTAGCCAGCGGAGGCCAGGAGATGAAAACCTTGGGGTGACCTGAATGAGAAGGGAGCAAGTGACCCCATTTTGGACCTGTGGTTTCCTCATTTAACATATATGTAGTGGGTACTAAAGACACTTGCTCTGTCTCGCCTTACTACCCACATTACCGAAGGTGGAAGACACACAGGACCAGCACAGGCCCCGCCAGCAGGTCTGCCCCTGGTCTCAGCCCTGATCTCAGCCCTGGGTGTGCAGTGTGAGAAACCCTGTCTTTTCCCTTTCAGGCAAGTCCATGGGGTTCCTTCATGGGCACGTGGCAGATGCCTCTGAAGGTGCCTCCTGCTCGGGTGACCCTGACCTCCCGCACAGCTGCTGGTGCTGCCTCCCTCACCGAATGGATACAGAAAAATCCAGATCTGCTCAAGGCCTCCAATGGCCTGCGTCCAGAAATCGCAGGCAAGGTATCTATCTGTTCCTCCCTCCTAAGCTCAAATCCCATGGCTGCCATTTCTTTCCAACCTCAAAAATGTCCATTGCTATACCACTGAGACCCAGCAGGGGGAACCTCCAACCAGCTCTGCCTGATCCTGTCCCGTCCCTAAGCACCTTCTCGGGTCTGAGGGATCGGCTAAGGACGTCTCGCTCTCCAGCACAAAATTATCTGATCTCAAGGGGAGGTCAGCAGAATCAAAACTGACTCTTCTTATTTGAAACCTGACTTTTTGTCCATGGTATGGGGAGAAAGAAATCTACAGAGTTCTGAGCTGGACCGGGAATGCCCAGGCCTAACCTGACTGGCCCCCCTCTTCTACCCGACAGCCCCGTGAGGCAGAGGCAGACAGTCAGAAGCAACCCGGGACGCCTACACAGCAAGCACCAAGTGCAGCCGTAATTCAGTGCTCCCCAACGTCAAGTCTCCCTGTCCCAGATCAACTCCAAAGCCCACACCCCTCTGCGGGTCACACTCCAGGTCCCCAAAGCCGAGCCAGCTCTCCCAAGGGCCCCTGGAAGCCCATGCACGCTAGGAGACTGGGCAGGTCCTAATCAGGCCGAGGTCAGGAAATGCAAACCTGGACCCCAGGGGACCACAGGAGCACATGAGACCCCCATCTAGAGGCTGAGTCGAGTACACAAGACCCCCTCAGGGAAATTATGGGGTGAGAACGAAGGCAAATTGGGAAAATAAACATCATTTGTTGAATCTTTTACTGATTTGGACTTTTTCCCTCCTGCTGTGGCTGCCTCTTGTAACCTATAACCAGGAGGAGGGGGGTTGGGGAAGCAGAGAGAATAGGACAGCGGCTGGGGGTGGGGGGGGCATGACGGACACATCTTTACAAGGGTTCGGTTTTACTCCAGGAATGACCAAGAGGAAGATGGTCTGAATCACAGCAAAAACCTCACTCCTCCCCCCTCACTGTTCTCACCCCACCCCCGCCTTGAGCATGCACAACTACAAGTTCAAGGTCAGAAGCAGTCCTTTAGTAGAGCATGTGTATGTGTCTTTGGAGAAAGTGGGGGAAAAAAGCTATGGGAAACAGAGCAGAAGCCACCACCCTTGTCTAAGACGTCATATCTGATGACAGACAGGGAAAAAGAGATACAAAAGCAAAAGTGCAAATACAGTCTGAAAATGAAGTGATCAGAAGGAAGAGATGAAGAAGTGAGAAGTAGAAATTCAGGACAGAATACAAGCATGATGACACTCGGCCACTCCCCAACCCAATCGCCTGAATGGGAAGCAGCCACCAAAAAGGCCAAGTCCCCTATCCACGTCCCATCCTCCGACTTGTTTTTAGGCGAGGTAACCCTTGGTTGACCTCACAGATTGCAAGGACCTTGTCAGCTTAAAATCTCTTATTTTATTTTTTACGCCTACAGCACCTGGTCTTCCTAGGTGGTCTCCCATCCAAGTACTAACCAGGTCCGACCCTGCTCAGCTTCCGAGACCAGACGGGACCGGGCTTGTTCAGGGTGGCATGGCCGTAGACCTGACATGTTTAGCATTGTCCCCATTCTGCACCTCCCTGGCACTGGCTGTCAAATTGAATGCCCTTGCCAAACACTCCCCAGCCCCAATGCCAAGGTGTTCCCTCAGAAACATGGGGCCCTCACTCCAAGGACAAGGACAGAGGACATATGCCTTAAGCTGGAGGAAGCCTACTTTTCTTAATCCCCACTCTCCTCTCTCCAAGTGTACATACCTAGCTGTCACCTGAACGGCCCTCCAGGCCTCTCCCGGATCACAACTTGCTGACCTGTACCATGGGGCTACGACCCACTCTCGGTGGGAGTTCAGAGCTGGTGAAGGCCCACGAGCTCTCCACACGCTCAGGTGCCACTCTCTGAGGCTCCCATGGGACATTAAACCTCCGCTACTTGCGTCTGAGTCCCTGAACACCTTCCCAGGTGCAGAGTCCACTGTCGCCCTCTTAAGAAGGGTCTGATGGGCACGGGCTCCACCCCAGCCACCATTCTCTGGGTTGCTCTAGATTTCAAGAAGAGTCAAAGACAAAACGAGCATTTTAATTCAGTTTCAGAAAAAGATGTCACATGAATTAGGATTAGAACACATGACAATAAGAAGCTTGCTTTTCTGGAAATGCAAGGGAAAGAAATAACCCTCAATAGCATCAAAAGCTGCATCTCTTCCCCCAAAACGCCTGCTCCAAAAGCCAACTGGCCCCCGTCACCTCCCTCTGACTGGGACGGCCTAACTCCCCTCCACCCCAACCCCCTTCTTCCAGTCACACTGTGTGGGTGCTCAAGACCCCGGGCTCTGACCAGTGAACAGAACTGCCCTTTAAGCCAGCAACCCACAGGCAGTGGCACCCAAAGCCCCGCCCCCAGTCCCCACGGCAGAGGCCACAGAGCGGGCATTGTTTCCGCCATCTCAGGAACGAACCAAAAGCTGACCCTCAGCACAAATCAAGACCAGTATGGAGAGAGAGCGAAGGCACAGAGCAGGCGCACGCTGGGGCAGGAGAGGGGAGGGTCCGCCATCATTCCGTCCTCAGAAACAAGACCCACCGAGCGCGGGTCTGCAAGCACAAAAGGCCCAGACAGAGCGGGAGAACTCCGCCCCGGCTGGGGTCAGAATGGCCAATAAGGAGACGGGCCAGCGCAGTGACGTGGAGCGGCGATGCGGGAAGCTGCAGCTCCTCACATGGCTGCCAGCCCCACCGAGGTCAGCACCGTGAGAACCAGGACAGCCACACCAGACTGGTACAGCTGGGGTATCTTCAGGCCCTTCCCCAGGTCCCACATCTGTAGAAAAAAGAAAAAGAGAGAATTTCAGCCATCGCAGCCCTGGGGACCCTCAGAGCTCCTTTGCCTGTGGCCTCCTTCGCCCTTCCCAACTCCACCCACTCGCCCCTGCGACAGAAGCACCCTTGCTCTACACACAAGCGCTTCCGGACCGAACAGAAAAAACGGCCTTCATGATGACACACCAGATCAGTGTCTCCCAAGGTCACACAAACTCGCCAAACGCTTAACTGCAAGACTGCTCACACACTGCCAGTCTCCAAATCGGGGGTACAACACACACAACTTCTTCGACACGGCCACACGGTCTCTCCTCCCCCATACAGAGGACAGGCCCAGTGCTGTAGAAGAATCCTCTGGATCTAGAACTCGACTGCTCAGTTTTGTTTTGACTGTGACCCCACTAAGAAATACCTTTTTAATTAGTACCCAGTATGTACACGTTAAAAAGAGAAAACCACAGGTCCAAAATGGGGTCATTGTGCTGAAGTCCATGAATCAAGCCTACATTTAATACCCGATCTAACCGAGGTTCCAACCTCTCCCCGAAACATAATCTTAACCAGTCTGGGATTTTCTGGCCAAGCCCCAGTCAGGTGATCTGTCACGTGGGCCCTCCCCACTCCACAGAAAGAAGCGGGGAGCTGCATGATGAAAACCCTTCCTTCTCTTCTCTTCACCCAAAGAATACACGTCCTGGCTCAAAAATGATCTTTTCGTTTGCCAGTGGCTCCCTTGCCCTACTTCCCTCCTATAAAAACCTTCCATTTCTGCACAAGCCCTCCGAGCCCTCCGAGCCCTTCTGGGTGCTGGGTGGGATGCTGCCTGGTTCACGAATTACTTAATAAAGCCAATTAGCTCTTCCATTTTACTTGGCTGAATTGTGTTTTTTAACATATGTATAGCAAATGTTCATGGAACAATAGACAATATTACCCTTACTACGTGTGCTACATTCCATATGGTGTATTCTATTTACATTTCTTGTTGGTAGCAACCCACTAAATTGATTTTCTACTCACTGCGTCAAAAACCACAATGTTTAAAAATTAAATTTATTGTGGTGACATTGATTAACAAAATTATATATAGGTTTCAAAAAAAAAAAAAAACCCCACAATTTTAAAAACACTGATCTGGACTCTGGTGCCCCAGGGGGATTAACACACTGTACTCTAAGTTGCTGAGGGAGCCCCTATGTTAATGGTCCAGTCTCCAGGTTCCACACTTTCCACTCGACTGTGCCCCCCACACACATACACCCACACTCTGAATGTGAAACTGACGAAACAGTACTTCAGAGAAGTCAGAGAGAGCCCAGAAGAAAAATCAAGACGAGAAGATGTCCCACCTCAGCCCCCAAGTAGCTTCTACCCAGACCAGATTAGGGGTCAAGCAGATTCCACAGAAAGCTGTTTTGCTTGTACAGACACAGTACTTTACAAAGAACTGAGTCCCGCTGGGTGGTGGTGATGGGGGCGGTGGGGTGGGGACGTTCTCTACAATGGCAGAGACCCTAACACATCTCCAGTCCCCCACTGTGTCTTCTGGCAAGCCACTACAAGGTCAGAGGGCAAGAGCTATGCGCTGTCAGAAAACAGAGAAGACCCTGTTCCACACTCAGAGCCAGTACTTGCTAGAAAAAAAATAATAAAAGCAGATTTAAAGGCTTAAAAGAAGCTTTAACTTAGTTCTGAGGTTCTGGAAAACCTCTTGCTTCTCCTCCCCCATACAGAGACAAAAACAAGACTATGGCGAGGTGCCCCCTGTCCCTCCTGAGCTAGGAGGTGACAGAGGGAGCTGAGTACTGGTTTTCCTTACAGAGCTTTGTTGGTGGAACTTGAAATCAATAAGGGAAATGCCCTCCCTGACCCTCCCCTTCTGGGAAATAAAGTCATTTGGATCAAACTGAACTGCTGCCCCAGGGAACAGCTGACAGACACACTTAATTTAATGGGTCATTTATCTCTCACTCTTCAGATTCCATTAAACTAAGTCTATTAGACCAGATTGAAATTCAGAAAGTGCTTCTATCTAGGCTCCAATGTGGAAGTTATAAAAGGTCAAATTAAGGCGAAAGCATCCCTGTGAGAGATGGCTCGGGTGGAGAGCAATGGGAACCCAGAGCAACCAGAACCGCACTTGTCTTCCTGGGAAAGGGAGCCAAGCAGGGGGAGGGCGACACGGAACAGGACATTCTCCGTGCTGGAGGGAGGGCTGGTCTCCTTTACAAGGTGGAGGAGACACTGGTCTGAACTGACCCCAAGGTCACGTAGGAGGAAACACGACAGTCCTCAGGCTACCAAAAGATCATAAACCCAATCATTAAAATCAGGGATCCTAGGCCCCCAGTTTCTGTTAAACTTGGCCCCGTATCCTCCAACAGCTCAAAACAAAAACCGAAACAGTTACAGCAACCCAATGTCAAGATTAAAAAAGTTAGTATATTTGACTCAAGCCAAATGTGTCACTCTGGGTTGGCAGTAATCATGTTTATCTAGCCCATCACTGGACCCCCTGTGTCTAGCACAGTGCCTGGCACAATAGGAACCAATTAATTATCTGTCTGACAAACACGCCTCCTATGCGGACGTAAGACCTGGCTCCAGGGCTCTGCTTTAGAATCTCCCTTGTAAACCTGAAGTGTTCGCCATGAGAGCCCGCAGCACCTGCCAGGCCCACGCCAGGGCCCAGCCATGCCCACTGCACCGGAGTCCAGTTCAGCCCTCCCACAGAGACTCCTGAGCAAAAGCCCAGCATTACCTACTTTCAGAACAGCACTAACCTCCAGGCAGAGAAGGCGCAAACCCAGCCTCTCCACCCCCTCCCCCGGAAAATGTCCAAGCTCACGTCCCGTCACTTACCAAGTGTCGGATGCCATTCCAGGTGTGATACATGAGAGGGAAGACGAGGGCAAACTTGGCTGTGTAGATGAACGCCGGTCCCAGACACAGGGACTTCACGAGTTGCAAATGAGACTCAAAGGTCCCCGGGAGCAAAAGGGCAGACAGGCCAAAAAGAGAGACCCCTGAGGAGACAACCAAGGAAGCCCATGACAGCTGCCCAGCGGCTCCAAGTGACAGCCAGGGACATTCGGGACCATCCTTGCACCCAGTCGAGTCAACAGCACGATCCATCCACAGTCGCATTCCTCGAGACAGCTTGTCCGATGCCGCACTTTGTTTCTGATCACCCTCTCCAGCGTCAGGTACCTGCCATTCTCAAGGAATTTAACTAAGCCCCCTAGACTTTATGCCACCTGTCACTAGGAAAACTCATGAGTATTTTAATCCCTGCAGAACTTAAGCAATGGAAGGGTGTTACAAGCCATCACTTTCCATCTTTTAAAGGACTGCTTGTCAAGTTATTTTTCAATAATATTACTTTAAAGTCAAACTAGTGTCATCACACTTTTTCAGTTCAACATGCTTTTTAGATTTCTCTACGGACCACAAAACCCCTACAATTGTCGCAATTCACCAAGGCCAGCCTGTCTTGATACTAGAATGAGAATGTGAACCTTTTGGCCTCCGTGGTCTACGGGATGGACTTCCACCTGCTCAGCGTGGCAATCAGTCCTCTGGTACACGCCCCCTTGCCAGACACCACTCTCAAACCGCAGGCCCAGTCACCACACCCTGTGATCCTGGTCATCTCTCGCCCCTGCACCTGTGCAGGCGGCCTTTCTGTCTGGGAGGCCTTCCCCACCCCTTTCATGAACTTCTGACTTATCCTTCCTTCAAGGTCTCCAACTCCTGCAGCTGGTCTCTCTCTGGGATCTCTTATCTCTGTTAAAAAGTTGTCAGAGTGCATTATATTTATGTGTCTTACCCCTTACACTCCTCCGCCCTTGTGAGTAGAGGCTATTAGTATCACTACCAATGTCCAGTGCATCACAGAGATTAACTAGCAGGGAGGAGGAATGAACAGTTCTTTCTGAAATGACCACCACGAGCGAAAGGATCCACATGGGTGTATTCACTTTGCAGGCAAAGACTTTGCAAGTACCTTCTGAGTGCTAGAGGGTATGCGAGGTAAGAAAGATGCAGCCCTCACTCTTCGGAGTTTATGGTCTAATAAAAGAGACTTAGAAAAACCAACCCAACAAAATAATTACAAATTATGCAATAAAAACAATGGAAGACACAACCAGTGAATAAGAACTATGAAGGAATAGTGCTCTGAAACAGAAAATTAACAACAGAACTAGAAATAGAAGCTACTACCTCAGATATGGCGGCAAACAAAGTCCTCTTAAGCGGACAATTTTGTTGACCTCTAAAGGATGAGGAGGAGTGAACTGTGCACAGCACGGGGTGGGGGTGGACACTGCAGATCTAGGATGACACGTGCAATGGCTGTGCCAAGGAATGTGAAGACCAGTGTGGCCAGAGGAGAGCGGGCAAGGGGAGGGAGGGCAGGGATAAGTTAGGCAAGGGCCAGACCAGGCAGGCGTTTTCAGCCATGGTGGAGATCAGAATTTTAATCTCAGTGCAAAGGCAAATACAGTCATGTGACAGTAATAGGAAGATTCTAAGTGTGACATGATTTGACTTATTTTCAAAAGATTCTTTATTTTTCTTGCTGTGTGTGAAAAATAGATCGGAGGAAAGCCACAAGAATGCAAAGATCACAGCTGCTGGGACCGACGTCACTGCAGGCCCAATGACCCAACTCTCCCTTCCATTTGGTCCAGTGCACATCGCCTTCTAAGATGTTGTGTGTGTGTGTGTGTGTCGCCTGTGTGTACCTGTACATAAAAACACACATACATACCTGCACTCAAGGCAACACCAGTGCCCCGGTGACAAATGGACATCGCCATGGGAAGAGACCAACTGCAAAGAAACACACAAAGGCAATTTAAAAAAGGAAAAGATGACACCGCAGTCGAGAGCAGCCCACTTTGGCAAAGAGAATTAAACCACTTTGGAAACAGGCACTATTTAAATAAACAAACGGCTTTCGCGTTCCTGTTTCCACTTCCTAGTTTTGAAAACAAGAAAACTGATTTATTTAAGAAGCCTCCCTCCCCTTTACCAGACTGTACCACTGAGAGAGCTGAATAGAGGAACTGATTATAATTCAAACTCTTCTCATAAGTAGAAACAAATGGGTCAAAGACACCAGTTAAAGGTGAATAGAATTGGAAAATAATCACGAGAATACATTCCCCTGGGTCCTTCTGTTTCCCCAGCCATACAACTGAAACAGGAGAAAACCTAAATGAGTTTATCCATCGTTTCACATAACACATGGTCGTCCTCCAACCCTCTTTTTATCTTGTTGTTGTCTTTAGTCGACACTCAATTACAGGTGGTGCAACGTAGTGATCAGACATTTTTATAACCTACTAAGTGATCACCCTGATTAGTCTAGTACCCACCTGGCACCATACATAGTTATGACAATATTACTATGTTCCCTGTGCCGTACATATTTTATATCCCCGTGACTATTTTTATAACTGGCAGTTCATACTTCTCAACCCCTTCACCTTTCTCTCCCACCCCGCAACCCTCTCTACCATCTGGCGCCCATCAGTTTGTTCTCTCTGTACCCATGAAACTCTCTCTTATTATACACCCCAAACTATCCAAATTGAGCATACCATTCATTCCTTAACAAATCACCTATTCCAAATTTTTAAACCAAATTTTGCTGGATTCGGTATATGTTTCTTAATCCACAGCAGTTTTGAAATGACTTGTCATCAAACCACCTTCTAAATCATGCTCTGAACAGCCAATTTGCCAAAGCGTTTCCACGGGACAGCCAACACAGCTGACCTGGATGCAGTTCTCAAGCTCAAGGGGGTTGGTCAGTGAGACGGGAAGAACAGGAGTCTTTCCATCCTGGAAAGTCAGCTTAGACAAGGAAGGCTGAGCATAACTGGACCACAGTCAACACTCAACGGAAGCAACTCAAGTGGTTAAAAAAATCCCCAGAAGATAGTCTAACTATGTAATGAAAACAGTCACAGGAAGAAAGGAGTAATATCCAAAGAAACCAACTCTGATTAATTCAGATTTAAGAGGATAAATATAAAAGGCAGAAGAGGAGACACATAACAAAGGACAAGCAGAGAACAATGGCATAATTTGATTAGAGAAGTCGGGAGACTAAAACCCAGAATGAGCTGAGGCTTGCAAAAAATGTCAAAGACAACAAAAAGGAGCTTTTAAGATTGTACTCAGAGAAAGAAAGCCTAGCTGGGATGGATGGTTTTATGTTAACAGATGACAGAGTACAAAGCAGACTGCTCAACTGTTTTATCTGTCAAAGAGAATGATTACCAGACTGAAAAGAACAGAAATAATACTGATTTGAGAAGTGGGGAAAAAAGAGGTGGGGAAACTGGAAGACATCGCTTAGCATTCCGAGTGCACGGAGGGCTCCCAGCCAGACGGGTTAAGTCCTGTGACCAAAGGAGCAAACAACAAGCACACATACTGCCTGGGGACCTTTCGGAAACCCTGACGTGGAAATAGAGTGATGAGAGAAAGCGCTCACGTCGAATGTTACCCTAATTTTCAAAAAACGGTTCAAACCCTGCCTCGTTAGCCTAGTGCTGCGTAGATGAGGGAGATTTCATCTTCCAAATAACCACAGTATCATTTCCAGTCCCACATGACTTCCAGAATCTTGTCACTCCTCAACAGGCAAGCACATAGTCCCCTGAACCTGGGTGGGACTTCATGACAGACTGCCTCGAAAGCCAGAATGCAGCAGAACTGACGCTGCCTGACCTCCAAATCACTGTCCCTCTCTCTTTCCTCCCAAGCAGCCTGTGCAAAGAGATAATGTAGACAGGCCCACGTGGACAGAAGACGAGGGCCCCTCTACCAGCCAGACGCAACCCAAGACAGGTGACCAATCGGATCTTTGGATCTTTGGAGTAATTCAGCCCCAGGCTTTGTGCTTCCTGGCCGCATAATTCTACTTTACGAGGTACTAAAAAGGTCCATTCATAAGACAGAAAGTTGTATGGGGGCCACCAGGGGCTGGGGACAGAGGGAACTGGGAATTACTATTTAATGGGTGAGCTTCGGTTTTGAAAGATGACAAAGTTCTGGAGATGGAGAGTAGTGATGGGTACGCGACGATCTGAATGGACTTAATGCCACTCAACTGCACTTAAAAATGGCGAAAATGGCAGATTTTATGTTACGTATGTTTTACCACATACACGCAAAAAAGTTACCCTCCCTGCAGCAGTAAGTTACAGAAAGGCCACAGTCACGGTGAACACGCAGCAGCAGCATAAACCAGGACTTCCAAGATTTCGTGGCGGTGGCACCAGCCTTCCCTTTAGAACAGTCAAGGCAGCATTTGGAGATCAGTTTCAAACCCGGTCCCCATCACAACAAATCTGCGTTCCCCAGCACTAATGTAATAAACTCATTCACACTTCATTCATCAATCGATAGATGAAATTTAAAAAATTTTTTAAAAAGTAAACATGACCCTATTTAAAAATGAGCATAGAACTTGAATATACATATTTTTCCAAAGATATATAAATGGCCAAAAAGCACATAAAAAGATATTCAAAATCAATAAATGGCTGTGAGAAAAAACTGGGCTTAGAACTATTTTATGCAGTCCAAGGGAGAACTAGAACCACTGGATAGAAGACATACATTGCGGTGAGGTCAATAATATAAGGCTCTTTCTGCTAAGAGAAATTCCCAAATTGGAAAAGGGTGACAGTGAGTTGTCACTGGAGGTGTGCAAGTATAGGCAGAAAACCATTTATGAAAATATTGCAGAGGAAATTCACTCATTTGGTAGGTACAATCAATGGTGGCTTTTAAACATTTTTTTTTTTGAGCAGCACCCTTTCTTTAAATGCAAAAACCCCATATGTAAAACAGATCAGCCAGATCAGCGTAAAGCTGCTTTCACTGCCCTGGGCTGGGCCTACAGGGCAATCTGCAGCTGGCCAGGCCCACACCACCATCCGCAGAAGCTCAGCAGGTTACCCAAAGTCCCAAGCCATACTCTTAAAACCAATGAGACTGATGATCACATTAACATTTAAGAACCCTTCCAATGCTTAAGAGTTTAAAACTGTTTTCTAACAACCTTTTGAAAGACTCTTGTTCTCCTGATACTTAATCCCTATGTAAACTTTTGCTTGTATAAATCGACTCAATTTATTGAGAAAAGGTGCTTCAGAAACTGCTAACTTAACCATTATTTCCATGCCTCCTCCAAAAAGCTCTAAAAGTTAGTCATAGAAAATATGATTCCAGATATCTCAGACATCTTCCCAGACATGTCACCTTGGCAACAGCCCCATTTTCCCTGCCATTTCTTTTTTTTCCACGATTATGTCTAGAGTTTCAAAACTGTAAGAATAAACAGGCAGTGAAAGGCTCACCTCACCAGCGTGCTACCATTTGTTCTATGGCCTGTGAAAAAAGGCCAGGACTTTAAACGTAGAGTCAGGATACCCTGAAAAGTTCTTCATCGTTCTAATGCTACCCCAAATCTTGTATCTCTTAAGAAAAAGTAGCAAGGATTGAGATCACTTAGAATCCTTCTGTTTTAGTAGAATGCCCAGTTTCTGCGATCAGAATTATTTCTGGAATCTAGCTCAGAAAAAAACTGAAGGGTTGTGGTATTTGTGGAGGTGGTTAAAAAATGGCCAGCCTCCCTAGCAGGAACCCAAGAGGGTAGCAGAGCTCAAGATGCTTCACTGGGTCACTAAAAAGAAGCAGATCTATGGGGTGTTTGGCAGAAGACACCAGCATAACAGCTATCAATGCTACTTCTGAGGACAACAGATAACAGGTGAACGCATACGTGTGTGCCCGTGTGTGTCTGCGTACACGCACATCCAAGCTCCTCCTACTGAAAGGGCTTCTAGAAGCAATGACATACTGCGGCAGTGAGCACATTCAGCACCCAGACCTTGATTTCACAGGAGCCATCTTGAAGAACTCCCACAAGCCGAGTCTGCGACAACCCGAAGATGAGAAGAGATGAGGGTTATACAGTGTAACCCTTTGGACAAAATAATAAAAAATCTATTTACCTCCACCTCTCTTTCTGGTTCCGGTTTCTGACACAGAGCTCCTAAACCCCTTCTCATCTCTGGAGTGATAAGGGTGCTAGGAGCATTTTTTGTTCTCATATTCAGTCTTTGACCCTGGTTCCTGACACACAGTTCCTAAATCCACAGGAACTGCCAGGGTGGTAAGAGTGTCCTTTGATCTAATGAAGTGACGCTGGATGGGAGCTGGCCATCAGAAAAACCAAATCATGATTAGAATCTTAGAACTTTCAGCCCCACCGACTTCCTTCCAGGGATGGGAGAGGGTCTAATAATCAATCGTGCCCATGTGATGAAGCCTCCATAAGAGTCCCTCAAGTACAGGGTCCCGAGTGCTTCCAGGTTGGTAAACATCCACGTGCCAAGAGGACGGTGCACGCCATCGCCATCCGAAGTGAGGGGCAGTCTTGTGGAACCGAGCTCTTCACCTGTGGGGTCTGCGCTACTTTCTAGTTACTGTCAGAACCAAACTGAAGGGAACCAGTGGTGTCTGGAGTTGGAAATTGGTTGGTGTGAGAAAAACCCCCACACGTCTGGTGTCAGAAGTACGGAGAGAGGAAACCCTGAGTTGGTATCATGAGTAGAGAAGAAATAAGTTTTTTCCTTTTAAGAATCCTTGAGTTTGTACGGATAAAGGAAGCTTCATCGTACTGTAAGAAATAAATCTGGAGAGTATGATGGAATTAGGAAAATCACAACTTGGCAACAATCACAGTAACAGCTGTTTCAGGCAAGCACCACCAATAGATGCTGCTGGGTAAGTGTGATGAGAAATAGAATATTTATAGTCTCAGAGCACCTCCCCACACAGTCGGTATTGATAAACACCATCCCAGCAGACACATCTTAACCTGTGATAAAGTTTTACACCAGCAGTAACAAGATAAATCGTCATGCCCCCCCAGACCCAACTCCATGAAGAGAGCACAGCATCACTTCAGGGGGGATCCTGTCGAAAATGCCTAAACCACAAGGGAACATAAGACAAACCCAAACTGAGCAACGTTCCAAAGATGTCCAGGTCATAAAAGAGAGAGAAAGGCTAAAAAGCTGTTCCATCCTGAAGGAGACAAGAGACACCACTAAATGCAACACTTGATCCTGGGGGGTCTTGGACTTGTCAAGGACATTATTGGGACAGCTGGCAAAATCTGAGTGGGATCTGAGGATGAGAAGGTAACATTGGATCAATGTTAATTTATTGACTGTGACAGCTATACTAAGGCAAGTCCTTCAATTTAGGAAACACACACTCGAGTATGAAGAGATTGTGGTGGGAAAGATAACGACCGTCCTAAAGATGAGCGCATTTTAATCCCGGGAGCCTGGGAGTTTCTACCTCACTGGGGAAGGAGAGTCAAGACTGCAGACGAAGGGGAGGTTGCTAACAACTGTATCTTAAGATAAGGGGACCACCCTGGGTTATCTGGATGGGTCCAATGTAATTACAAGGGCCCTTCAAAGTGGAAGAGGCTGGCAGAAGAGGAGAGTCAGAAAAGAAATGTGACAATGGGTCAAAGCGATGCATTGGAGACGAACTTGAGCCATCACTGCTGTTTCTGAAGATGGAGGAAGGAGGCCACCCGCCAAGGAATTCAGAGCAGCCTCTCGAAGCGGGCAAAGACAAGGATGCGGACTCTCCACTAGCGCCCCCAGGAGAGAACGCAGCCCAGTGAGACCGTGTCAGACTATCGACCCACAGGACTGGGAGATGATAAACGTGTGGTTTTAAGCCGCAAGTGTGTGAAAACTTGTCACAGACACAGCAGAAAGCTAACTCGGGAGCAACAGGCCTCATCACTTCTAACCCGTTCTTAAGTTATTCTGACATGGTAACAAGTTGGGAATCTGCATGAACGTGTACAGAAGCTCTGTGCACTATTCTGCAGCATTTGTGCAAATCTGAAATTGTTTCAAAATAATGTTTTAAAATTAACAGCATTTTGACTTACCAGAATTTTCCCAATGGTAGCTTTGAAGATTACCCTTCTAAGGCCGGAAGACAGAATTTAGTCTCACACAAGGGAGCCTGAGGCAAATGACCAGGGAGGCTACGGGCCAATCTTCAGGCCTCTCAGCCACCACTCCTAGGTTCCCTGGTCCCAGAGCCCTTACCTGTAGATGGTGATATGAGGAGACAAAGGGCGGTTTGAATCAGTGTTCTTATTCCAGAACTTCTCCATCTCTTCCTTGGCTGTGGTTCCCAGAGGAACGGCACTAAAATAAACCAGAAGGTTTTACAGTCATTAAAAGTAAACTTGTTTTTATACAACAAAAAGTTAAAATAAGAAAATGTAAGCTGGGCTGGATGAACACGCTGTATAAGGGAAACATGTTCACCACGCTCCTCGGCTTTCTGCTCAGTCTGACTCAGCTATTTATAACCTCAATCAACAAATGAGGTCACAGCAGAGGGTAACTCTTCCTTCCAATCCCCCAAGCACAGGCCCACCAACGGAAGCTCAACTTCTCTCCTAGTGGGCATTAGTGCAAGTACAATGTCTCAAAACCATTTCCATGAGTGGATTCCCCTTTTCACAGGCCCTGCATGCTACCTCATACCTTACCACCTGCTCTCGTCTGGCTCATCAAGACTCTCTTTCAGGTTCTCAAAAATCAAGAACTGGATTCAGCTCAGTACCTCTGAATAGTTTCTTGGTTTCTCTTGTCACTGGACTAGGTTGAATTTATATGTACCCCCCAAAAACATCTCTCTCCACAGATTACTTATTAATTCCAAGAGGAAAAAAACTAACTTCGTAATGGAAAAAAAAAAAAAAAAACTAGCAGACATTTCCTTCTTGAGATGATCAAAGTTAAAATCATTGATAATGGGACAAATGGCATCATATGTCCCTCACACAATGTACATGAGTGTACGCCATTCACATATTACTCCTGCCAAAAATGGATGACCTGAATCTAATCACTGGCAAACAATCGGACAAACCCAACTCGAGAGACACTCTACAAAACACCTGGCCAGTATTCTCCAAAAATATCAATGTCATAAAAGATGAACAAAGGTCAAGACACAGTTCCAGGTTGAAGGACACTAAAGAAATATGACAACTAAATGCAATATGTGAGCCTAGTCAAATGCTGGATGGGGAACAGGCAGACCTTATTTCTATAAAGTACATTATCTGGGACACATAGGAAATCTGAAAATTGCCTATATATCAGATAAAAGAATATCGATGTTAAATTTCCTGACTTTGATAACTGCATTTGCATAATTATACTGTTTTATAAGATAATGTTCTTGTTCTTAGGAGTATTTATTTAGAAGTAAAGTGTCATGATGTCTGCAACTTAATCTCAAAGAATTCAAAGAAAATAATAACAGTGATTAATATATATCACGCTGAGCCACATTAAATTGTCAGTATTAGACCAGTTTAGACCTACCAAAAAAACCAATTTCATATGGTACAATCTAAAATATATAGAGTGATAAGTAAACGAAGTAAAATATTAATTGATGAATCTAGGTGAAAGGTGTACAGAACTTCATTGTATCGTTCTTCCGACTTTCCTGAAAATATAAATATTTCCAAAATGAAAAGTTTAAAAAAATAACAGAGTCTACGGCCATGCCACCGTGAACACACCCGATCCCATCTCATCTCGGAAGCTAAGCAGGGTCGGGCCTGGTTAGTACCTGGATGGGAGACCACCTAGGAAGACCCGGTGCTATGGGCTTAAAAAAAAAAATAACACAGAGGCAATTGTTGAAGTCAACAGACTAGAAATGACTATGGCAGGAAGGAATATAATTAAAGACTAATTCCTAAGAGCTGCCCCAAATTAAAGGCTACAAGAAAAAAAGCATTAAAGGAAGAAAGACTAAACAGATAAAAAAGAAGAAAATTAGACCTCAAGAAAGGAATCAAGAACTGGAGTAAATCAATGAAGTAAAATAAATATAGCAGAGAAGCTGAGAGTGAGGAGAAATTAAAAAAAGAGCAAAGAAATATTCTTTCTCTTTCTTCTTCCACTACCAGATAAGAAAAAGAGTGACCGCAATTATTCTCTTTTCAGCCAAACGTCTACAACTACTCGCTTTCATGCACAGCCCCAAAATCTAAGCCAACAACCTACTGCTTTTCCCTGGGGAAAACAAATGTTAATAATTATCTCCCCAGATTTAGAGACTTACTTCCTGATAGAGAGCCGAGGACTAAGGTGGGCACGCAGGCAATGACGGCCAACATGTCTGCAAAACAAGAGAATCAAGAGTCAGTATACATTTAGACACCAGTTCTCTATTTTTGCACTGTATTAGACTTGGGGGCAAGGGATTTAGAATAGGATGGAAACAATGACACTTCTCTTAAGGCTATTTTCTAGTTGGAAAGCCACATCTTTAAATAACTTGAGGATAATCACAAATACTACCTACAAATGCAAAATAAGGTTTTGGCTGAACACAAGTAATACACGGTAAGAACAGTCAGAGTGGGCCTACGGGCGGCACCAGCCCCACGAGAACACGCAGCTCGCCAAGGGCCTCCTGCACTCTCCCCAGAGGAGGAGGGGACGAAGCATCAGAGGGCGCGCCTGGTGCAGAGCCCCAGTTCCTACTTCGTGGATGTGAAACGCCCAGGAGGCTACAAAACTGCCACCGGCTTCGGCCATGACAAATGGCCGTTTTCCGTGTTGGGGGCTCCACTGTCCCCTGCCAGCCCACAGGCGGAAAAGCAAGGCTCACGGAAGGATACGCCTTCAGAAGGAAGTGGCACTAAAAGTGCCCTAAGTCAAGATGAGTGAGGAATCATCCAATAAACACATTCTGGATTTAAAAAAAAAACTCAGAGTCAGTAATGTTCAACAGAGAAATAAAGTGACTTTTTAAAGCCAGTCCTCAAAGGAGGCGATGATTAAAAGATATGAGTTAAAGAAAAAGAAAAACAAACAAACAAAACAAAACAGAAAATGCCACTGGCAACTCCAAGTGTACAGCGTGGCTTCAGCAGACACCTGCTGCAAATGGAGGATTCAAAGGTTGAAGAACAGGGGTCTGTGAAGGGGGGTCCTAAATATTAAGCTCCCACCTTAGGAAGGACCATCAAGTTCCAGACGACCGGGATGAACTTCAAATAAAACATCTCTCATATAATAGTGCAAGAAATCGGGGACTGCAAAGAGTTCTCTACTACCCGCAGTCTTGAAAGGTACTTGAAGAGGACACACAAGTCTTCTACTGAAAAGTTGCTATTTTTGAGATGTATACACCAGTACCAGAGCTGCTTTTCAAGTCTAAAACTCAGATGTGCCCAGACATTCTATCTGAAGAGAATTTAACTGACCTGGCGCTTGCCCAGTATTATGACATACACCCCTTACTCACATTGAGATATCAATCTTCCCAAAAGTATTTAAGAAAGTAATCAGAGTGAAGCTCTGGGACTGAAAGTTCAAATGCACGGATTCTACAAAAGGCTACTGTGTTTTCACCGTGCATGAGGCCCCACAGGGACGCAGAGTCTCACTAAGACCCACGATCGTGATGTCCCTCATGCCACGGACATTCGATGCGTAAGCACTGCAAGAACCTGTGCTTTACAGTAGGGCACTAGAAGGGTCCACAATCTGAAGGCGAATCATCTGACCAACACTTCCATCAGCTCTTCCCTTTCTAGCCTGGGAGGCGAGAGGTGAACATAGACATTGTGTACCCCAGGCTCCCAGAAAGAGAGAAGTGGGAGCAGACCTCTCTAAACCAATTGGAGGGACTGTGACTCTGAAGTTGCAGGCGCGCACTCCCCACGCCCAGCTCGGTCCTGACACTCGGCTCCCCAGCGGGCCGGGAGTCCAGAGATGTGGGCTGGAATCTACAGCACTCTGTCTGTCTCGTGCCATTGTTTCCCAGGCAAACACCAACGTAAACGTTCCACAAGGCCCCAACGGAAACCAGCTGCGCAGACGCCAGAAGCTTATTAGAAATACAACAAAAGTCAGTATCTAAACTTTCCTTTGACTCAAAAAAAAAAAAAAAAAAAGTCAGTATCTCTCTTTGCCTTTCATGTGAAACCAGGAACTCTGAAGATCTCTTTTCCCACCCAGGAAAAGAACGTTATATGTTATAGCTAGAAAATAGCACTTTGTCTTATTTTTAACAAGCCAGAACTTGCAATTTCTGGCGAGTGCTGTCCCCTTCTAAATGCATTACGCACGTCTCCTCAGCAATGCAATCCCTGCTCACACTGTTCCTGAAACTCTTCTCTGGACCGGGGCAACAACGGTAACGTCCACAGAACAGCAAAGTCACAAGGCCAGATGAGTTCTAGATCCGCAGAAGCCGCAGCCATGCGACTCAGTGAGTCCCAAGCTTCAGCGAGGTCGGTCTTACCCACCTTACTGTTTGCTGAGAAGGTTACATGAAAACATGTACAGGAAAGCATTCTCTAAACTGCAACAGACCACATATATGTGTAAGATATTAATATTTCATTGGTCACCCTAAAGTCTTTAATTCGCATCACATTGTTTTGAAAACCCTCAGTGGTGATAAAAAATATTCACCTGCTCAAATGGGTTTGACTTTTGGAGGAAAAAAAAGTTATGCGAAGCCAAGTCTATGTGATCGAACTGAATAAAACTATTTGGGGTGCAAAATAAGATGTGACCATAACATGGAGTTTCTCTTATACGACCTCTACGCTTCATCCGACGGTATGCCAAAAAGTTTCATAAACGTCTGGGATAACAGCAACACTAAAATAGATGCTAGGCGTGAAGGACGTGGTGAGGAACAATCGTTTCTATTAGAAAGTTCTGATTAATGGTTGTTAGCTCCCAACTCACTCCCCAGCTACAACATAAGTCAACCTCGGTTTCTTCTTTTCTTCCCATACATGCAAGGCATTTCCCGACGCTACCAAGAGCATCTAGAAACTCCAGTCTTGTTTTAGTCCACCTTCTCTGCATTTCCCACTAGGAGTCGTCACAGGAGTTCCTGAACTCATCCCCCAGGCACCAAGCTCCTCTCTTCCCCATCATTCAATATAACTAGAGCTAACTTACTAAAAATTAAAGTTGATTTCATTTCGCTTCTGCCTAAAAGCCTTTGACCATTCCCATTGCTTATAGTTTAAGGTTCATACCACGGCCACACAAGGCCCTTCTCCACACAGCCCAACCTAACTTTCTGGGCCTGTTTCCCAACAATTCCTCTCAGCCCCCACACTCCAGCACACTGGGTGCTACACTACACCCAGACAGCACAGGCCACTCGTGACCACGTGCCTCTGCGCATGCTGCTGACAGCCTGATAGTCCCGTCCTTCGACATCCAACGTCTCCTGGACGGCGTCACCAGTTCTTGCTGCGCCTGCCAGGATCCCACATCACTTGTTCATGTCTCTGTATCAACATTTACTATGCTGCTTAATAGTTAATCTATTTATCTCCTCTGCTAGACTTTGACTCAAGGATAGGACTGGAATACTTTGCATCGAAAGCACCTATAATAATGTCTGACACATAGAAGAGGCTCAAAAAAATGGTCTGTGAATGAATATGCTTATTTTAAAAAGCAGTCTTATGAATTTAGAGTTGAAACTTATTTTTGGAGGTGTTTCACATATAACATTTAATATGATGAGCAATGTCCAGAGATTAATGACTCTTAGCAACTTTGTGCTTAAGCAGCATGAACACTGTCAGGTAGTAACCTAGCCGTTCTTGGCTTAGTTCTTTATCTCTGTCTTGGCCAGTCGTCCCGAGAAGTTTGCGTTACTCAGCTTATTTGTCGCTGGCTATTCCGTGAACTCTTTAGGGAGTAAAAACACAGAGGACTATTCAAGAGCCCTGACGTACAGTACTGTGATAACTAATAATTTTTAGTTAGCCAAGTATTAAAAATGTTTAACCAATATTTCTCTTAAGTGGGCCTGTGTTCATTCACAAATGAGGAATCCACAATCATAGAATCAATAACCTTGTCTTGTTCAAAATAAATGGAATTAGTGACACTATGAGAACCAGCTCCTAGAAACCAGCTCCTAGAATTTCGTAGAAGGTAATTTCCTTTGAGGGTAAATCAGCACGTGAAAAACAGTTCCAAGACCCTCAGTGAAATGAATCAGACCTGGCAATCCATCAGGAAACAAAATTTTTCAAGCCTTTCCATAAAAGCTCTTGTGAGAAACTGACAGAGCAGTACCCTTGCCACGAGAGCTTCGGATTACCACTGACGAATCCTGGTGGCGACGGTCCTACCCAACACAAAGTGATACTGTCTGAACACACTTAATGGGTATAATGATCCTCAGATTCTAAACAGTAATCCGGAAACTCTTAAAACCAACTGTTTAGAACCTATATGACCATTTCAAGCTAAATGTTAATTCCACCAAAAGCCCTTGACCACAACCCAAATAGGATAGATCAAAAAATCCAAAAGCATTCAATTATGGCCAAACTAACTGGAATAAAGGAGGCAGTTCTGGCAAGACTGGCCCATGGCACACCTTAGAAAAAAGGATGCATTTGGAAATGAGAGGCAGGGAGAAAAACGAAGGGTTAAGATAACCCATTCCTCATATCAACTCCAAAAGGAATCATTTGTCACAGGGGAAAAAAAAAACCTAAATAAAGTACTTCTATTTTTATACTGGTGACTTAAGTGGAAAGAGAAATACGAAGATATTTGGGGAAATCAGGAATTAAATCTCAACCGCATTAAAGCTAACTTTCCATAACAGTTTCCAAAAATAGGGCTGGCGCAAAACCATGCTGGGATTTGTACTAGGAGTGTGTAAAGACACTAAAATCGCTAAGCTAGAAAAGCTCTGGGCAGAGAATGAAACCTAGAGTGGACAGTTCAGAATGGAAGAAAATCTAGAGTATTCTCTGGACAGTGAATTGACACTGCAGAGAATAACCGAGACATCCACTCCTCTGCCTCCCCCCCATCCAAATAAAAAGAAACTAAAACCGAATTCCCTGGGCTGCTTCGAGACGGCAGAGCAACAGCTCAGGACGCTACTGCTAATCGCCAGCGCGGTAAGGTCCAGGCCTCCTGCACCCCGGGCCGGGGCGATAGGAACTCGGACAGTGCCCACTCGTGGCCAGCAGCTGGCGTTTGCGGGCATCAGAAGCAAAGGCAAAGTCCATTAAGTTCTCCCCCGACCAGGCCCGATCCCTAAAGATCTCGAAATGGCAGAACTTATGGTCACAGGCATACCTCGTTTTCTTGCGCCTCGCGTGTTGCGCTCCACAGATGCCTTTTTTTTTTTTTTTAAGCAAATTAAAGGCAAGACCCTCCACCAGCGAAATTACTACTAGCTTTGCTGCGACACCCGATAGCCGCTTCCTGCGGCGGTCTGAAACAACGCGCAGTAACTCTGAGGTAGGCCTGTGTTTCTTTTCTCGGAGCTTGGCCCTGGGCGCAGGGGACAGTGATCGGGGGAAGTTTCGGGTGGGGATGTAGAAGGCCAGGAGAGCCGCGCGACCCCTCGGCAGGGGGTAAGGGGGAGATAACGGGCCAGTGACCGCGAGCGCCGCGGAGCGGCGGGGGCGGGGATCCCTAGGAGTCCAGGGGTGGTCTCCACACCCACGGGCCCTCTCCCTGCCCAGGCACAGGGTACACAGCCGTCAGCAGGACGTCAGGGGCCACCACGGGTCCCCAGTGGGCCGCCAGCCCTGACTCCCGGCCCTACTCGAAAGTCACCTCAATAGGAGCGCAGCCATCTTGAGTTCCGGCCGGGACGGAAGTGACGCGTGGCCCCGCCCCTCCGGCTTCGGGGGCGGGGCCTCCGTCACGTGACAGCGGGCCTCGCTTAAAGGCTCGGGAGTCTGTTCCCCCCTGCAGAGCGCAGGCTGTGTCGCTTCTGTCCGGTCCGGTCCGGTCCGATCGTCTGCGCCCCGCCTCCCTCCGCTGACTCCTAGCGGCATGTGCCATGGTTTCGGCAGAAATGCCGCGGGCTCAAACGGTGCCGGGTACCACCCCACCCCCCCGCGTCCCTTCTTGTTTTGATTCGACCCGTGGCACAGAGCGCTTGTCAGTCTACACCCGCCCCCCCACCCCAAACCGCCCAGGCGCTGAAAACGTGTTGGTAGGCCCGCAGACACTCTGCATTCTAACGGGAAGCTTCGCCAATACGGAGACACACAACAGACCCGAGTTGGGAGTGTGGAAATGGGCCGCGGGGCACAGAAGCTCGCGGACCACCGTTCCCACAATCCTGGGGCTTGAGCTGCCGCGTGAGCCAGACGCCCACCAACCAAAGACAACGCTCCCTTGTTCGTGTTTCAGGGCGATGTGGGTGACACCCACAGCCAGAAGAACCTGGCTGGGGGTGGGGAGAACTCGCTTGGATTTATACATACGCATATGAACACTTTTGGGGAGCTCAAGCACAGCCATCACTTCCAGAGCACTTATAACTTAAGGGAGAAAACAAGCAAGTGAGAGAGGAACGGCAGTGCGGAAGCTCTGGAGTCTCTTTGGGGGCGGGGAGGGGGAGGGAGACTGCCCAGAACGACTCCCGTTCTACAGTAAAACATGTTTATTACGTTAATATTCAAATCTTCTTTATATCTAGCACTCCTGTACTATTCCTTTTAGGATTTAAATAGCACAAATTCAGTTATTCTGCACCAAGCAAAAACACTATTTTGCATCTCTATAACACAAATTGAATGCTAATCACGGAAAGCACCAAGATCGGCATGTAAGGAGATGCTGGGGAGGTCCCAGGAGCTGTGGGTTTACAGGTGAGCCTTCAGTGGTTTCGCAGCAGGAACAACAGTGACCTCTCCCTCGGATTAACCTCTAGAGCCTGTCATTGATAGAAATGAATCACACCGAAATTCCAACCAAATATTAAGTCAAGCCCCTTATCACCAGGGCTCATCCTAAAAATGAGCCGGAAGAAGAAGGAGGATCTAGCCAGTGCTTGGGGTGAGAGAAAGGAAGGGGAAGGGCATGAGGAAAACATTCCAGATGGGGCTATGAGAGGTTCTGTGAAAAGCAAAATCATTCCAGATGATCCCGAGGAGGGAAGGGCAAGAGACAGCAATCAGGAGAGCTCTGATCTGAGTGATTTTCCGGTCGGATTTGCCCTAAAATTCAGTTCTGACCACAGAGACAGACACTCCCATCTTTAACTTAAACACGACTCCAGGAAGTTCTTATGATGTAAGTTAAATCCATCTTCTTTAGTACATATTTTAAGGCCCGTCAAGTCAAAACCGGCCTCGACTTTCCTGTAGTGACTCTCTTCCTGTGATGCCCCTTCAAGTTCCTCCAAATCAAGTCAGTGTGGATGACACCAGATCTGCCTCGAATATGCCCAGTACTTCAGAGACCTGCCCTACGCACACGCACGCACGCACACAGACACTTACCTCTTTGTCTCTGCTTTTGCTGTTCCACCTGCCTAGACACCTTCACTACCCATCTCTCCTTTTCGAAATGGCACATACCCTTCAAGGTCGGTCCATAGCCAATGTTGCCTTCAAGACATGACTTTCCTCTGAATTTCATTTATTAGGTGAAATTTCTTTTTGGTTTTAATCTCTGTTACATGACTCAATTCCCCTGACGGTGCCGCTGTACGTGCCCTCCTTGGCACTCCCAGCACTTTGTTCAGCAAGCGTCATGATTCATTCTAGTTGGTTGTTGGTGAGTTTGTCCTCTGAGCCTCCCCTCTCTGCCTCTCTAAACTAGACTTTGAACTCCTTGAAGGAGAGACTTAATTTTTGTTCCGCTATTGCCCATATACCCACACTTTACATGTAGCTGACACTCAGTACAGGTTTGTTGACTTGCTCTAAATTGAAATGGGCTTAAACTGCAGTATGAGCATCACATGACAGGGAAAGCTTAGGGGATTCTTCCCTGGGCATTTTCCAATGGCGAAAAGCTTCTATGTGGGAAGAATCCCCCACGATGCAGGGAGGTGGTGGGGGCAAAAATGGCTCCCAAAGGACCTGGTCATCTCAAGAAACCCAGCCTATGGTAGTCAGGGTCACAGTGGACATTCTGTCCCCACTGTTCTCGGGGAACCTTCCTCCAGCTCACAGGGCTCTGGGGGAGCCGTCTCGGGCGAGGAGGCTGGGGAGGAACCCCTTCGCATGGCCTCAGGCTTCAGGTTCCCCTGCCCATCTACCCCTCAGAGGAGTGTGTTTGTGTCCCTCCTTCCGTCCTCCCTCACCGCCCCCCAACATTCCAGCCCAGGGCAGGGGGAGGCCAACAGACACAGAGCCCTCTGTGTATGGGGTGGTATGTGTTCCCCACCCTCCACCCGGAGGACACAATGCCCCTTCTGCTCCCTGTGCTCCCCCCTCCCCACCACCTCTCAACTGCACATGCCAGGCTGCAATTGGTTACTCGCTCAGGACAGCCCCCTCATACCAAGGCCCCAGGGGATTTTAAGCAGGTTCCAGGAACCTCCCGCTCAGCTCCTTGTCCCCCACTCTCCCAGCCCCGCAGCCGGCCTGGGCCCTTGCCTGCCCCAGCTATGGCTCCTGGGGCCCCCTCGCCCAGCCCCAGCCCAGTCCTGGCTGCGCTGCTCTTCTCTTCTGTGGGTAAGTGGGGTCGCCCCAGCCTGGAGCCCGGCTCAGGTCGTCCTCAGCTTTACCCGCGCCACCAGAGAGAGACAGAGCAGGAGCAGGAAGGCGATCTTATATTCAGAGAAAAACAGAGTTTGGAGGGGGCAGTAACGGTGTTCCGTGCAGGGAGGTGGAAGGCCATTAGCGAGCTTCCAGGAGGGGCCGACCGGACCAGGCTGGGAACCAATACCACACCCCAGGGCCGTGCCGAGGGCCTGCAGGAAGCACCGTCACTGAGGTGGGACCAGGACCAGACACCTGGGTTCTGGTCCCTGCTGGTCCCCTAGGAGTGCAAGAGGCACCTAACCTTGGTCTCCATGGAGACTCAGGTACTACGGTCTAAGGAGAGGGCCCTGGTTTGTGGCCCCAGCTTTTCAGGTTCTTCGTCTCCTGGTGCCTCAGTTTCTCTTTGTGGGTTGATTTTTATGTGGGTGAAAAGCATAAGAGGGAGGGTCTATAAGATTCTAGGGTTTTGTCTGTCTAAAGCTATCTTCCTTCACAAGTTGACCAACCCCTTCCTTGTCCCATGGCAGATGTCAGGTGAGCAAAAGAAAGTCCAAGCAGGGTTACTGGGATGGCTCCTTCCCTTCTCCAAACTGTCCTCAAGCAGCAGGCACGTGGGAGCGGGCACTTCAGAGTCTCCAAGGTGTTCTCTGTTATCAGTTTCCTGAGTCCTAGATCCCAGCCTCGACTCTTCTGGGCTGTGCTGGACTATTCTGGGTCCCCTGAGAAAGTGTTAAGGATGGGGTTTTGGAGAAGGATGTGGTGAGGGAAATGGGGGGACCTGGGAGCATAGGGAAGGGTTCTGTCCCAGCACCTGTCCGCTCACAGGATGGTTGGGCAGAACTGGGCAGCAGCTGATATCGGAGCAGGAGGCACAGAAGGTAGACCCAGGGAATAACCTTCCTCATGACACTGAGATTCCCTAGAAGCCCTAAGGCTGAGGTCCCAGCAGTGCGTCCATGGGATTGCATGCTGAGGTGGGAGATTCAGGGAGGGGGAGCGTGAGCCCCCAATATGCTCAGACAATGGGTCTCTGTTAGGCTGCTTGTTCCCCCTCTGTAGAACAAAAGGGTCTACAGTCACCCCCACCCAGGGCCAGCCCACACACATAATCTCCCTGGAATGGGCTTCCTTGTGTGGGTGAGTCTTGGGAGTGGCACTGGGCCAGAATGACCAAGAGGGGGGGGGTGGAGTGTGGAGGGTGACCCCAGAAGGCCCCTTGCAGAGTCGTCCGGCACCGGCTCCCCCTGTGTGTGGTACGAGGTCCTTCCATCCCTGACCCCCCAGTGGAGAGCAAGCTGTACGGCCGCCAGGGATTCAGCGGTGAGGACGGCTGGGCCAGGGGAGAAGACTTACCTTCTCTAGTTATCTTCATTTTTTTTTCCCTGTTTTTTTTCTGCAAGAAATTTGAGTTTGTTGTACAGTGAAATACTATGCAGATACTAAAAACAAGATCGATTTCTGTGAGTCAACATGGAAAGCTCCTCCAGATACATATATTCTCCAGCAAAAAAGAGTAGAATATAAGCGATGTGTACCAAAAAAGAAAGCTCCACAAAACAAAACGATTTCTCGTAAGCACCTGCATGTCTTGAGATTATTAAGTTCATATTGAGTTTGATTCACAGCGAAAGACCACACATTAAACTGGTACCAGTGGTTCTAGCCGGTAGGAAAGGAACTGGATGGGGAGATGTCAAGAGGCTTTAACTTTCTCTCTCTGTTGCTTGAATGGTTTAAGAGAAGAATGAGATATGTATTAGCTGTACGAGTTATAATAAATTTAAACATCGTAAAGCCTGCGTCTAAGGGATGGCTGAAGAGTTAGATATTGACTCAAAGGGGAAGTGAGGCTTGGAGACGAGGGGCAGCTTCTGGAAGCCTTCCGGAGAACTGCCCCTGCTGATTCCGCCGCCCCTGTTGAATGCGACGCGTCTCTGCTCGGCTATTCCTTAGTCGGGCGAGACGCGGGCCTCCGAATTTAGCGTTTCCGCCTGTCTCTGCCGTTGCCCGCCTCGCCCCGGCATCTGCCGGTCTGTCCTCCTCCACCGGCCCGCTGGGCCCACGCGCGGGTCTGACCCCTCTGTGCTTGCAGTGCTCTCCCCGGCCCAGGCCATCGTGGTTTACACGGACAGGGAGGTCCACGGCGCGGTGGGCTCCCGAGTGACTCTGCACTGCTCGTTCTGGTCCAGTGAGTGGGTCTCGGACGACATCTCCTTCACCTGGCGCTACCAACCCGAGGGGGGCCGCGACGCCATCTCGGTGAGTGCCTGGGGTCCTGGGGTTGGAGCGTGGATAGGGCGCTTCGGAGAACCTCACAAAAGAGAACTTGGGCCAAGGACGGAGACCCTTTCTGAGCCATGGCCCCAGCGTTGGCAGAGTGAGTGACAGTCTCTGCCACCCCGGCTAGGGCCTGTCTCCTCGGGGCCCCCTCCCCAGCACCGCCCTCTCCAGCGCAGGACCCCCATGAGCTGCGAGCCTCCCTCCTTCCTCACAGATCTTCCACTACGCCAAGGGGCAGCCCTACATCGACGAGGTGGGGACCTTCAAAGAGCGCATCCAGTGGGTAGGGGACCCTCGCTGGAAGGACGGCTCCATCGTCATACACAACCTGGACTACAGCGACAACGGCACTTTCACCTGTGACGTCAAAAACCCCCCCGACATAGTGGGCAAGACCTCTCAGGTCACGCTCTACGTCTTTGAGAAAGGTGTGAGAGGGGCGCGGGCGGGTGCGGGAGGCCGGCGGCCG